AAGGAAATAACGTTACTGAAACTTTACGAAGTTACTGAAAAGACAGAATCACAAACCCTTTTTATATAGTTTTGTACGAAGAATAATATTTGACAGTTATATGACACAATGCTTGGTTATATGAATTTGGTGTCAAGATTAAAAAGTATAAATATTATTTTCCATTGTTATTTATTTATTAATAAAAATAAACAATGACTAATCAAACTTCTATAAATTAAAAAAACAAACAAAATATGCATTCAATTCTAAGCAAGCTATATAGCATAACCTCTTATTTTATCGAGCTTCCGATAACTTTTTATCATGTTTAATTTTTTTTTCTTCGCTACATGCGTGCGCTTTTAAAAATAACTACGAAATAAAATATTATTTCGTAGTTATTTTTATGTATCTTTTCAATGATGATATGGCAACCATACTTAAGGCATGATTGCTATTAACTTTTATAAGGCGCATTCATTTGCATAAAAATATAGGTAATATAATATCCAAAAATATTTTATAATGTCAAGTTCTGAGGCCGGATTAGTACTTTTTAAAAAGTATAGATTTTACAGTGTAGCCCTAACGATTGAATCCTCGTTATAAGTGGTTCAAATATGACATTACCATTCGTAGAGTAATGTACAAGGGCATAGAGCCCCGTTTGTTATAAGGCTCGCGTAACGGTTTGAAATGTGTATTAAAAATATAGTTCTTTCATTTTTCATTGTCCATATTCAATATAGACACTGAACGTTTCCAAGCGTAGCAAGCTACTTTGTAACTAGACAAACATGTATTTCAAAAGCTAATAAACAGTTATAAAGTAGGTAGTGCATCATGGCAATGGTGATATCGACTAAAACTAAGATGTGTATGTGTACATTACTAGTGTTAGTGCTGTTAGGGATCGGACTGGCTGTAGCATCTACGATGAAACTTTTCGATAGTGTTGAGCATAAAGTGGGTAAAGCTGAGATGTATAGCGAATGGAAGTCTGCACCTCGGACAGTTGAATCAGTAAGTAATTTGTTTATTGCAATGTTTGTATAATTTCAGGTTGTAATAAAGTAAGTACGGTGGTAAGCGTGAAGCGTTACCTCAACGACTGCCATTGTTCTTATATAAAAAAGAACTAAAAACTAATCAAAACTTTATTTGAGGAAATGCTTGGTCTCGATCTGAATACGTGTTAATTTATTACTGTTATCGTTATGTGGTCCCAAATATAATATTAGTTGTTGATATGTTGTATTATATTAAAAGTCAGTGGCGCTACAACCTCTTTAGGTCTTAGATTTCTAAATCTGTGTCATGATCATTTTTCAATCTAATAGGCAAGTAGGTGATCAGCCTCCAGTGACTGACACACGTCGTCAACTTTTTGGGTCTACGACATGTCGGTTTCCTCACGATGTTTTCACGAAAGAAAGTCCATTGGTGCACAGCTGGAGATCGAACCTACGGCCTCGGGAATGAGAGTCGCACGCTGAAGCCACTAGGTCAACACTGCTCTGTGGTATTATATTACAAGAATTTACATATATATTAATAAAATACATGAATTGCATTGTTTTTTGTGAGATCCTATATCGTTTTGGGTTCATGATACCAGAACTACGTTTTGTTTTAAGGGTAGTACCTATTAAGTAGCGCATTTCATATCATATATCATGTATCAATCAAAGCAAAAGCCTTCTCCAATATAAATTAATGACCCGGCTAGAAATATAGCCACAATCAAACTCAAATAAAATCACTCTTTTTGCGAAAACGATTATTCTCCAGAGATTGACCAGCCTTATACAACGTTATTATAACGTATCCAGTTTATATAGACCCCTCATATAAAATGTTACTTTAAATACGCCGAGGGAAAATTACTAAGGGAATAACGAGGGAGATCTTGTTCCACTGGTTGTTGGTTACGTGATGGTGCGCTGGAAGAAAATCTTGTGACCTATAAAATTAATGGCATTCGTATGTTTTCTGAAATGGCCCGGAATGGATGGTAGCTCTTAATCTTCGAGTCCTAACTTAGCTTTATAATTTGTTCCCATTTTGCTACGTTTCTTTGTTATTTCTCAGGTTGAATGCTTTCTAATCTTTCATCAAGAAATACATTGTAACGAATACCGCATTTGTTTTCTTTAGGACGTTCCCAAGCTGAAATAATTATGAGCTATACAGTAGTTGCAACTCAATCTACTAACAAAGAGATTAAAATCAAAGACATTCAAGATTTCATTGAAGAAGGCCTTATTTTATTCAAATGAATAACATTTCTAGGTGTGTTCGGAACCTGGCCAGGTTTATTTTTATTTTATTTTATTGATAAAATCTTTTCATTAGTAAAAGAACCTCAATATACAATATTAATGTTACAAGCACTTATAGGCAAACATGACAGCCACGAAGAGATAATACAAATTTAAACAAAACAAAACAATTAAAATTACAAAAACTAAACGAAAATCGATTTTAAAGTGTGAGTGGAGCAACTATGGATATTCACACCTACCTCGTTTATCAATGCTCAATCTGGATATCGGTGAGCTTTGACCAAAATGCGTTCTTTGGAAAGGAGGGACATATGGAATGATGTGATGCCGTGTATCTAGAGACACGAAATTAGAATTTTGATAAAAGGTTGAGGCAATCAACCTGATTGTTAAATAGCTTAAATGCAAACGATACATCAGGTAATTTTCACGATCTGAAACTGTTAATTTTGTTAGATTATTTATAAAATGCCTTACAATTAAAACTCATTCCCACTAATATCGCTTCTTTACATTGCAATATGCGTTAGTGCCTTAGTTTTACATAGATTGGTTTTACCGACACTGCTTACATTGAATTACTCGTTTTATAGAAAACATACTACAGACAACGCACTCGCGAGCATTCTGGCTGTTTTCAAGAACAGCAGTATCTCTTAACATCACTGAGAATTCTGTCAGTTTCGGTCTTGCTGTTATATGACAGTTTGATAATACTTACTAGATGTATACTGTAAATATATGAAAAAAAAAGGCAGAATACGAAATTCCACCCGTATCACCACCTCGACGTCCGCCGTTCCACAACTGCGTTTTTCAAGGCAGTTTTTGCCGCGCACCACCACTTTGTGGAACCAGCTGCCCACTGAAGTATTTCCGAACCAATTCGACTCAGGGTCCTTCAAGAAAAGAGCGTAGCAATTCTTAAAAGGCCGGCAACGCACTCGCGAGCCTTCTGGCATTGAGAGTGTCCATGGGCGGCGGTATCAACTATCACTTAACATCAGGTGCCTGCCTGTTTGCCCCCTGTTCTATAAAAAAAAAAAGAAACTTACATGTGGAAAATGGAAACTCGAGGCTTTTATCTATATAGCGAACAATTTTAAATTACAAAATTCAATCATGTATCCAATATGGCAACTCGTTAAAACTTAAAACGTTTTGTCCCACCGAAAACCACACACACCGCGAAATATTATTTACTCAGTGGTGTCATGGAAATGGCTGGTGTAGTCCGACGTATTTTTTAATTAAAAATCTGAAATCGAAAAATTGTTTTAGACTAGGTTCACCTTTTGTTCAACGTTGATTAGTTGGAATTTTTTTCGTTATTAAACTGAACCCGCGATTCGGTGAATTTGAAATATCCATTTTCCGTAATGTAAATTATTTTTTTAATATGTTTTATGAGTTTTGTATTACTGTGTCATTTATTGACGATTATTTCGTCGGAAATTAATATTTTGTCGGAGAAATATCGTTACTTCATCGATATTGACATCGACATTAGCGGGTTTAGAGGGCGTCATGTGGGGTAAAGTGCAAGCAACTATTTCAGCAGTTTAAGCATTTTACCGATAGCAATCCGAGATTGATTTGGCCAATCGAAGCAACTGATAAAATGGACAGATAAGCTATTGGCATGTGGAAACATTCATTTTCATACAGAGGGCAATCTTCAATCTCTGATCCGTCCTCTGAACGATTGGTTGAATAATTAGATTGGTAACTCAATCTAAGGATTGAAATGGATTCCTTAGAAATGGATTGAATTGTCGATCTAAGATAGCTGAAATTGGATTGAGATTGCATATTAATTTTGGCCGTAAGGACACAAATAATTATCGTATAATGTTTAATTTAGATTGATTCATTTTAACACTATAAAGAACACTTTAGCTTTAAATAAAACGAGCAGCACCGGTGTTCAGGGCACCTATCTCACTTTTAATCACAATCTACTAGAACCAACTTGCTCCATCTTCTCATCACCACAATCCTTCACTGAATATTCAATCAGAACTGTTTGTTACCTACCCTACGCCACTTGAGGCATTTGCTCTGCTCTGATTGGTCGTAACAAAATTCGTACGTTTATTCGTTAAGTTATGCAAACTATGAAACAATTAAATAATAACAAAACAAATTAAATTATGGTTCGACATATCATTTCCTGATAACCCTAGTATTCCCTGACAAATGTGTATACAGCGTAGTGATAATCTACTAATGATAAGTAGCTGACTTTCAGATATTATAGTTAGTAAAGTTCAAATATTAAAAACTGAAAATGTACAAAATGAAAGTAAGGGAAACGCTGCAAAATTACATTGCTATCAAGTCCGATTTATGACAGCGATCAGGCATACAATCTTACGTCCAGCGTAAAATGATCTTTCATGGGCATTAATTTAGCTACAACTTCAGGGTTCACAGGTAACACAATAAACTGGTTGTTTACAAGTTGTCAAGATATGGCGCGAGTTTGTTTGAAATTTAGTACTGTACAGCGCATGCGTTGATTGACACGGGTGCGTGTGCGCATCTTTACCGGATGTTATAGCAACCGCCATTATCATTATTTTACTTACAATATTCTTACGATTTATGCTGTTAGCATTAAAACTTGTGTTTTTTACATCTCGTTAATAACTATTTTATTTATAAAAAATATTAAATACACAATATTCGTGAAGGTATCGGTACCGTCTTGATAATATCTTGTCAGCCAAAATGGGATCGGTTTGGTTCCAAGTGTTAACATTGGTAATAATACAGGGTGCCTTTCAAGAGCTGAAGCTTTTTGGATCGCCTTCACAAGCCGAAGTACAGTGTGTGAACACATTTGAGGTAAGTTTTTTTTTCATAATAATTGCTTTAACTTTTCTTAAAATAATATCTTAGGATTTTAGATAGAGATAGGATTAGTATTTTATTAATAGACCTGCATAGATAATATTGCATACATACTTATGAAAGCATGCCAAATATAGAAAACTACTTTAATTTATAAGTACTCTTATTGATAAAAAATATCAGTGTAATACCTTTAACGGGAGTACTCATCTATCTCTTTTTATCACAGCGAAAACATAATTTGACAGAAAGAGACGATTTTATGTGTAACGGGTTAGTCTACTCGTATATTAATTTCATACAAATAATATTAGTCGCACATATACAAATATTAAATACATAAAAAGGTCCCTAAAGCGGAGTCCATAAGCAGTAATACAAAATTAATTAATATCCTGTGGGATTTGAAAATTCTTTTATAGAAGAACTTTTGAAGGAAACATTCTTGAGAACCTTATTTAATTGCATTTGTATAAAAAATATTACTCAATTGTATGAGTCTGACCTACTTTCATACAGATTATAATTAATTATGGTTTGACAGGATATAGGCAAAGGCGGCGAAGGAGACGAGATTTATATTGACAATTCATTGGTGATTATTATTTCCTTTTTTTGTTATAACTGATATTAATCCAAGAAAGTCCTAAAAGTATATTAAAAAAAATATTTTATTGATTTTAAAGCCGTCAATTCGGCTCGTAATCTACGACTGGTAGTTTTAACGCCTGGTATTTTGATATCGAAACCTCTGGTTTGCATAAATAAATGGAATAGTATCAGTTATTGTTTTACTAACACCAATTGTGACGTCTTGATACTAATGTTATTGTTTGCACTATTGTGTATGTTTGAAAAATAATAATATTTAAGTATTTTAATAACTAATACTTAACCCGTATTTCTACCATGATGTTTACCTAAAACATTTATTTAAGTCTTGGGGTATACAGACAGAAGAGAGTGAGAGCTTAGAGCGCTTGTCACTTCCACATGTCAAATTAGATTCATAATTAGAGTCATAATTCGCACTATGTCTCGTCACTGAATCTTACCCATAGTTTGTGAATACTACGTTGTAACTATGTTAATAGTTTATTATCAAATAGTTTATCAAACTTATACCAGAGATAACTCTAGGAACAGCGAAGTAATCATTTACTAAGTACCTACTAATGGTATCTAGGCTGGTGATCGATATATTAAGCAATTTCCTTGGTATGTATTTGATTTAATAGTTTTCGTTTTACCGCAAAGATTAATTTTGATGACTGCGGAAATATAAAATAACTAATAAAACGCCAAAACTTAACAGGAGGATATAGTATCGTCAGTCGAATAATCAGTATGTATATCATGAGAAATCGTGATTGTTATTACGATAGAGATATATTTTGCCGTATGTATTTATTTAAGTACACCACATGATATTTGTTTAAAAATATTCTTCTTTTTTTTTTTCTTTTTTTTATTGGACAATTCACACCAATTGACCTAGTCCCATGCTAAGCTGGTGAAGCTTGTGTTATGGGTACTAGGCAACGGATATACATACATATTATAGATAGATAGACATATAAATACATATTTAAACACCCAAGACCTAAGCACAACACCAAATCATCACATCGATGTTCGTCTCAGCCGGGGATCGAACCCAGGACCCATGGATTCGCAGTCAGGGGTACTAACCACTAGACCAATGAGCCGTCAAAGCATTCTATAGTGTAAGTTACAATCTATCTATTCTACATGACAAATAGAGTAAAAATAATGTTACAAACGTAATAAAAACTACGCTTCCAATTTTAGTTTTTACTAGTATTTTTTTATTTCAAAATATTTATTCGCCTGATACTTATTCGCTATTATGAATATGCGTTTACAATGCTTGTTTTAAACACACACACTTCAATTCCAAATTTGCTAATACGTAGCACAAAACTTCAGGTTTTTCTATTAGGTTGACATATACTCGTAAATAGGGCTTTATTGCCTCACTTAACCGCGAAATACTTTATGATAACTCAGTGAATGAGAAATATTCATTAAATAACAATAAACGTACACTCAAGGAGTTAGATTGTCTCTTCTTAAGATAAGCTTAATATGACCATCTCACGTCAATGACCGCGATAGTCATTACATGAAAATATAGTATATGTCATCATTATTTCGTAACTGAGCCTAGTAGAGAGCAAACTTCTAAAAATTTTCACTATATAAAAAAAACCAATCCTGTAAAATTTAAGGGATATTTTAGTCTATATTCTAGTATAGTGCTGTTTGTAACACGACGATCGAGCTGTTAGATGATAAGGCTTTAAAACAAATTGGTCCCGTAAAAAGAATTGAGTGTAAAACTCTCCTGAAAAAATTATAGTGTGTGACCCCGCGTCGATTGTAGTTAATCGCTTATTAATCCATATTTTATTAACATAATAACGATGATCGTTTTTAGATTTGGTATTAACATGCATTATGTGTATTTATAAAACATAGATTTTTTAGGTGTTATTTATTTATTAAAGTTAACCACATCACACATAATGCTATTTCTATAATATATGTTCCAATCTTTTCTAAAATATATTACAATTATGGTAATCATAAATGTTACCAAAAAATACAACAAAAATATAATAAATAAAATTACTAGTACACCGGATTAGGTATCAGGTAGGCACTTAATCATGTTTTTTTTAAATTGATCAGCCCACTACCAAATATGTCAAGATCTGGACAGGTTTTAGTTCTACACAACCATTTCTTAAAGTACCTGGAACGGATATATTTGGATATATTTTTTTTTAAAGTCTACAAGCTTTTACATATTACGTAACCGATTTTTTCTGTCCATGCAGACATCGAGGTCAATATCGTATATGTAATTGATAAGAGCGATAAAAAAATCAACGATATTTTCAAGCAAATATTCCATTGCCAACCACAAAATAATTCCCGACGCCCAATCGTATTTACTTTGCCGCGAAAATGTAAACAAATAAGTCGTTATGCAAACATTTCCGGCAATGGCTCGCTATCGTAAAGCTCTGAACACATTAACCATATTTAGTAAAAATCTACATCTATACCTCTGATGCATGCGACTTTATCAGCGGACAAATATACAAATATTTTTAAAGAGCGAAATCGCATCCAAGAACATTTCTTACGCAAAAGGAACTTATCGGTCTTCATGTATTATTTGGTAAGACATATGATGTGTAGATTCTGAACTCAATTAACGATGAAATAAAAATATTTCAAAGCAGCCGGAAGATCACTTAATCTTTATAAAAAAAAGTATAACTTGTTGTATATAATACTAGAAATGTATTTAGTACTAAACAAATACGACATTGTTCAAAAAAAAGTTTGCTCTGCTTGTCATGCTTCAGCTAAAACAGTGTGATAAGGCTAATTTATTTTGTTTCGTTAATTAAAAGTATATAACTATTTACTCTACTAGGAGGGGCCGGAACACTATCCACCGATCGTTCGTTGTAACATAACTACATACATACTCCGCGTGGTATTGGTGAGAGTAGGAATTTTCTTAAATTGTAATGTATTTTTATACTTAATAATAGCTAGGACTGTATGCTAGATTACTATTAGAACAATTGTTAATATAGCAGAGATTACAATCGGTACAGCCAGTTTATCAAGGTTATCAAAAAAGGAAGTAACTGAATATAGAGTATAAACTAGTAGTGAAGTTCGCAAAAGAACCACAGACTACACATAGAACCATAGACAAAGTAGAACGCGCCAATTTTTTTTAACAATATGTTCCTATAGGTTCGTTTGAAACAATCTAATATTTTATTGTTAATAACATTTTGTTATCACATAATTATTTTCAAACGAATAAAAACGCTCGAAGCCTACTCGTGTGCCTATCACTGAAGCTACGTTATATATTGAAATGTTAGTTCATTTACTCGTCAACGCTTGTTTGATTATCGTTAGGTGCCAATTTATCGGGTCAACCTTCTTTTTGCGATAAATTAGAAGCTTATGTTAGACCGATGAACTGATTTTGGTAGATGATGGCTTATCCATATATTATAGATTATTATATGGCAAAAATTAACAGGCTTAATCTAGACATCCGTTGTTCTGACACCGTAAAATCCCTGTTTTTACAAATTTCGTTATTTTTTTGTTTTTACGTGCGGAATACATTTAGCCCTAAGTATGTAAAAATTTAATTAATGTATTAGTCACTTAGTGTAACCATTAGCAAATTTTTAAATAAAATTAATAAAGGTTTTTTTATAATACTTCATAAGTACAGAATAACAGATTCTTGGTATTCATAGATTAGAAGAACTAGAATAACAGTAGTCACTGTTTTCATCATAACTTTAAACAGTAAACTTAAGGAGTTGATTGATAAGGATCCATTTGTTTTGATTTCACCTTACTATTCACCGGAATTATTTATAAATGACGTATTTTGCCTCGAAAAGTTTGCTCATAAAAGGAATTCTTAGGCCAATATACTTCTCACATATAGATTATTATATTGCATGCTCTTACTAATTTACTTCTAACGTAACTAACAAAAAAAAAACTAAACACGCCTGAACCTAGTTATATTAGTTTATATCGACTTTAAATGCGATTAAAAAATTCAACTAACTAAAATACTTGCTATATGTAAGCTCCAATTTGCTAACATTCAGATCGCTAAATACCCATTAAAATAACAACGCATTTAAAATCCGATAAAAAATTTGTGTAATATTTCGTAAACGCTAAGCTAACAAAGACAAACGTACTGAGTAAGCCGCTTAATTATTGCACAGATGTATTTAAACATGCATTCTATGTAATTAATTGTTTCGCAGGTGGACCAAGAAGAGGGAGATGTTGAGGGGTCGGGGAGGTATGGGACAATCCCGCCATTTCCGCCTCCACCACCCGGACTTAACGGTAAAACACCTTTTATTAATGACCGGACATTTTTGTATGTTTTAGAATGTTTGAAACGTGGTGTTCTCGATATTTAATGTGCTATTGTTTTCTATAAAAAAAAACGACAGGTTGCACTCCAGGAGTGCCGGCAGAAGTAAAAACTTAAATATTAACGTTGTGCATTTTTGATATTTTGTAATGGTTAGGGAATAATTTTGCACGAATTGTCAAAAACAAATCAGTATACTATCATTAATGTGGTAGAATACAATATTTATTTATTGCGCTATCGTACACAAACATGACAATTTATATTACATTAAATACGCCGCGCCAGCTGTCTACTCTCCATCCGTCTTACGAATTTTCGATCAGGTCACGTGTCCTGACGCGAGTTTAACATTTTTTACCCATTCCAAAAAAAGTGTACAACGCCGCTAAAGAAGTTTTCAATTCAATAGTTTTACTGTATGAACGTTAATGAGGATTTCTGAATACTAGGCGTCTGAATACCGAGTGTAATAACGTACTATAAAACTTAATAATTTATTTCTAAATGATATTTAAGCAGAATATATAGGTGATCAGAACTACGATATTAGCCAATGCCTTTATTTGTTCCATTTGGAGGCGACAGGATTTGATTTTCCGTACAACAGTCAAAGCGAACCGATCTGTGTCAAGTAGTCTAAGTGCTTCGCGAAGTTTAATCACGCACTTCTTACCGATAATGGTTTCGTATATACTAAGTAACATGGTTTCCCAATAATTTAATAGTTTTATAAACCAAATCTTCAGTTAATTGAACAGTTATACAATATTTACTCGACACCGTGTAATAGCTGGCTTTGGGGAGCGTATTTATCTCAAGTCGAGGGATCGTGCAGTAACCATGTTTGCTTGGATTAACGACTGTTTGTTTTAAACGATACGTAATTACTGTGGGTGACTTATGAACTCGGAAACTTTAGTTTACACAGAACATATTTAGTCTAAGAATTTAAGAAAAAAAGTTAACGTTTCTCTCTTGATTGCTTTTTCGTAAAACAAAGTGTAAAAATTCGAAACTTAAAATTAAAAATTCGTTCGTTCGATTTTTGAATACGACTATCTCACCTGCGGCAACTCTAGCATAAATCATACACGACAGTTTATTGTAACATTATCTTATTTAAAGCACTGTTAAAATAATTTTTGTTAACTTATAATACGAATTGAATATGAAATTACGAAAACTACTAGTTTTTCCAGTTGACTATTTAATTATAAAGAGAAACGAACTTAGTCTGCGATAAATCCTCTTTCAAGTTTCTCAAGTCGTTTGATAAAGAGCACACACATATGTGTGTGGACATTGTCAGAACATACAATAAATACTATAGTGTATGTAAAAATCAGTTGTAAACGAAATATATTATATCATTAAGTTTTTTATTCCAGGTTATGCCCCAATCTTAAGAGGTGAAAAGGGAGAGAGAGGACCAAGGGCAAGAGTTTTATTTATTTTAATAAATATATGTTACTTTGATATACATTTTCTTTGACATCAATACCTTATTCCAATTAAGACATTTACTTGTGAAAATTCGTCTTATGCTTATTTTTGGTTTATTAGTTTCATTTTCAGTTTAAAAATATATAAAAAAATATTATTGCAATAAATGAATGAATGTCGGCCCTTCTGTGGACGGAAAATTTGTGACCAATTTGTGTTCCACCGTCACAGAAATTGTTTTATTTTTTTAATAAACAAAGCACAAGACTACATAACCTACCTGCCTATCAAGAAATGATTAAATAAACTGGAAGTTTGTAGCCATAGATAATATGCCTATTATTTATTACGTAACTATAGCTTATAAATATAAGCATATAAGCTACTGCATATAGATCCAAGACGTGAGAAACATTTTCATTAATATACAATAAAATATTTACTACATATAATATATAGCTTAATTCAAGACTATTCCTATACGTAGATTTAACGCCGAATTAATCTGTGATTAGGGGAATGACAAACACTCCACGCGTTTACACCTACATGATAAACATAATTACTGATACTAAGCTCCGCTGAATTTAATGTTTTAAGATAAATATATTACACGTAGCTCTCTCTAGCTAGTAGATAATAATATGTAAATTTATTTGCTGTTTTGAAAGCTCTTTTTTAGCTAAAAATATATTGAGTTGTTAAAACCCTTTCGTCGCTTTACTGTTTTATTAACGATTTGAGATATATTTCTTTATCACCGTACCTTTTATAACAATACAGTTCCGTCTTTTCATGGCTTGTTCGTAACATGTTTTGTATTTATAGGGTTTACCCGGAGAATCGATACGCGGACCACCAGGACCTCCAGGACCGCCAGGGCTTCCCGGTATACCTGGAACAGCTATCGTTGAATCATCTGGAGATGATGTAAGTTGCTAGCATTTTGATGAACCGTAAATGTTCGATCTTGATAGGATAGGATGGTGGATTTTTCTTTGAACACTCGCTTGTACGGCGAAGGATAATATCCTGAGGTTTCCCTCATGCCTTGGATCCGTGAAATTTTACGTGGTGTACCAGGCAAGGCTGAGGTCTACGTGTCTATAAAGAAATAAGATCGGTTCCAAAATCGGGTATCTAGAAACAAATACAAAAATTGGAGTTGTAGCGCCAATGTTTTTTTTTTAATTAATATTAATATTTTGTGCTCATTATGAAACTATTAAGGGCATTAAACAACATCTTGAAACTCAATTTAAGCCATCACCACTGTGAATTTCGTATTAAACCATTTCCGCATCCAAAACTACGTACAATTTTTTATATATAATAATATAGGAGAATAATATTAACGGAGGAGGTTAATAGCTAACTAAATCTTTATTTATATTTTCTACGCATACGTTTCAGGCAATGAATATAAAGGTACGTACCGGAAATATTTATATGTATATATTTTATCTAAATATTTCAAAACTTATCTAAAAATATAGATTATATTGTATATCAAAATGTTATGTTGGTTTGTGTACGCTTCAAGAACTCAAAAATTTCTGCACCGATCGAGCTGAAATTTTAGCATGATGTATATAATCCGCATCAAGGATTGTTTTTATCTATTTTATTAAGTATTGCAAAATTAAACTTATATGAAATGTATTCTTTGTTTTGTTTCTCATTTCTCAACCATTCAATCACAATGTGCCACTGTGAAGCGTGACGGCGTACAGCTAGTTAAGTATAAATTCGAACAGCACAAATCCTGAGCGTAATTATTCGCTATACTAAAATATAATTCAAACCTAAAGGTTATTCTCAAAAAAAATCTATAGTACTGCCAAAGCTTACAATATTTTGACTTAAAACAAATATCTGAATACTGAAAGACTGGATTATATGTTTGTAGCAAATTTTCGGTGAGAACTACGCATCAGTCGGGCAATGTGGCTGCAACAGCAGCACACTAATGGCACTTCTCGAGTTGGCACCGGAACTCCGAGGTCCTCCAGGTCCACCGGGGGTCACTGGCGCAGAAGGGCGCATTGGACCACCTGGCATACCTGTAAGTTTGTATTCATTGTAGTGGTATACAATAAATTGGCCTTTTCACAGTTTCAATTTTGAATAGGATATTAAGACGCACTAGTATACTCTCAAAAAAACTCAAATCAAAGAATGTTCACACAATTATAATATTCCCCTACCCTATCAAAGGCTTTGTAAAGATCGATTTGCTTTTTAGAATCAAACAAAAACATATTTTTGGATAGAAAAGAAAGTAGTAATCAGTAACTGTTCTAGAATGGAACTTGAACGAATTCCAACCCAAAATTATTTCACTCTGCGCTGTGATTGGTACAAGACGCGTAATCGACCAATTCCTGCGCGATTTTATGTTCCATTCTATAAGTAACTGCCATATATCTTACATATATATATATACAAATAAGATATCATGTTTTTAGGGTCAAATGGGGCCAACCGGTGAACGTGGTCCGATTGGTCCTCGGGGCGAAAAGGGTGATAGAGGGGATGAAGGTCCCCGTGGTCCAGAAGGCATAACGGGACAAAAGGGAGAACCTGGCGTTGATGGAAGACCTGGCACTGCTGGACCGCCTGGACCACCTGGATCGCCCGGTTCGTCTGACTACGGTAACTTTGAGGTTAGTATTCATGAACATTTAATAAACATAAATAACTTATTTTTGAAAATTACTGCACATTGAAAAGGTGGATATATAATGTTCATTGTTAATTTATAAAAACGGTATTAATAACAATTTTTATATAAAGACAACTGCACGCGATTATCGATTAAAAGTTTCTAAGTAAAACACCATAAGCCTCTATTCCAGCAGAATCAATACGCTAAAGTCAATCAAGCTCAAATTTAAACTATTTAGAATACGTTGGCCCTTGTTTGCAATTTCCTATAAAGCTTTTCCTGACTTTCCACTTGAAATTTATTATGCTGATCTTATTTTACCATTTTCATGCCATCCATTGCTGCTTGTTTAGTCAAATTGGAAACCTAGGCAAATATACAAGGTAAGTTGCGAGTGTATCGTTAAATATGGATGGAGCTTGCTTTGCTACGAGCTTTTATTAGACCGGAAACTACTTTTCACGAGCTTTCGTTTTATATTCAAATGTTGATTAGGCTTTTTTTTAAACACAATCAGAGTATCATTTCCTTATTGAAATCAATAAATCTTTTTTAACAAGTATTTTTACCAAAATTGTTATATTAATATCGAATAATCGGTTGAACTGCGATATTAATTTCAATCAAATCTGTTTATGCGTTAAGGGTCTATGCAAAACCTGTTTTAATTTGTTAATTTCAAAAGGCATTTAAGTAAATAGTTGTTCAGCTTAAACCAAACTAACATTTAATAATAATAATAATAATAATAATATAGCCTATAAATTCCGAAACTCTGTCATTTTATATATCTGAACTTTAATATATTTTCACTCCAGTATATCTCGGAGTTCGGTGTGCCTCTTGGCAAAGGCCTCCTCTAACCCTTTCCACTGTTTTCTATCGTTTGCGACTCTTTTTAGTGATTCAGGAGTTCTTAAAGTCCTAATATTGAGAGATGCTATATATATATATTATGGTTTTTTGTTAGAGGGTGGTGGTCTGATCTTCCCGCGGCGACCAACCGTGGTGGGAAGGCTTCTTGATTAGGTTGTTTTAGAATGTGTTTTTTCCATATTTGTTTTGCTTTTCCGGTTTTAGTTGTTGTTGTTTTTGTTTTGATAGGTTGCTCGCGTGTGTTTGTTAGTTTTTTGAAATGTCGGAGGTCGAAAACAATCTATCTCTTCCTATATATTGTAGTATGTTTGGTTGTAATATTTCTTTTTGTCCTACATTGTTAGTTTTAGTCGATGTGTTTTCAAACTTGTTAGATGTGTTCTGTTTTTTCTGTGTAGACAAGTTGGGAGATACAGTTTTATCTCTCTTCCTTTTTTCGCGCTGGTTATCCTGCAGTTTTTTAATCACCAATTGGTCTCCTCTCAAAAAAGATTTGTTTCCCATTTTCCATTCTTCCTCTGTTTTTGGCTGTAGTTGTTTTCTAGTTTGTAGTACCTTCTTGGTGGGGTTCTCTTTTTCAAATGTGCCTTTTAATACTATAAGTTTGTCGTATCTTATAAAAGCAGTATAGCCTTTCTCCTTTTCTTTCTGTAACTGGACTTGGAGTTCCTTCCGCCTGTTAAGGACTTCAATCGGATAATCCTCCTTAATGTAGTACTGAGTATTTTCTAGACAGGATTTGTTTTTCAGAATATGTAACTTGTAACTCATGCTGTTAAACGTTATAACAACCGGTCTTATGTTATCACCTTTCTTTCCCAACCTTCTGACAAGTTCAATGTTATTTTTGTCACATTGAAATTCAAAGAACATGTTTATTATATTTACTATAATATTCTCTAATTCAAAATAAGTATTCTCACTCTCTTCTACTCCGAACATGACTAGGTTCTTTCGTCGTGAATGCCTTTCTAAGTTATTTAATTTGACTTTTTGTTCTTCAATAGTTTTTTCTAATTGTTCGTTTTTCAATTCAAGGTTTGCAAATTTCTCGTGAATGTTGTTAATTATTATGTTTTTTAAATCCTCTTTCATGTCCAACATATCTTGTTTTTGTTGATTGATGTCTTGCTGTAAGTTCAGTAACATTTGATGAATTTCTTCCATAGTGTATCAGTGCCCTCTATCCGAAGAAATATGAATTTTTCAACGAAGTTAAAATTATTATCGATAAATTTATATTTTCTTATTCTAGAAATTTTACTAGATGGGGGCGTTTTGACGTATTTGTCTTACAATATTTGTTTTGCAGGAGCAAATAAAATCCATAAATAGTGTAAGTCAGATTATTCGAACTTGGACCGCTTATCACTTAGTCGATACCCTTATATAAGTGGCTATCTGAGATTATGATGAACTGAACCAATGTTTGGTATAGTATATAATTTTGTAACCAGTTCATATGGATGTCTGTTTAATATTTGTATTTCGTTTTGCACTAAGATTTTTCAGAAGACACTTTAGTCACTTTTAGCACTAGACGTCACAACCTCACAAAAATGCAACAGTGTCATGAATCCGTTTGATTGTTGAAAGCGTGGCACGTCAGTTGAAGCCTCGTTAAAACACTTTAAAATCCTGATGTGTTTCGTTCTCTTGAGCACTGACTATACATTTATCTATTACTTTGTAGTATTATTAGACGTTTTAACACTTATTAAAGTCGCATTGATCACAAGTAGTATTTTTTTTAACGAAAGACATCACGGAGCCTATGTAGGTAGTTGTAAACTAACATTTAGGACATTGAAATACAAAGTCTAATTTCACATGGCGCTGTCACAGATATAAAGGAGTTTCATTAAATTCAACAGTTTAATTTAATTAAACAAGTAAGAACAACAAAGTATTTCCTAAGTTATGGAATAGAATTAGGCCTGTCGATTACCTCTTCATTAAGTGTCTCCGAGTTTGTGTTAAAGGGGAATGATTAAAGGAAAGTTTGTCTTCCGCAAACAAAACTGGCAAGGCAAAGTTTGCACAACGACTCTCCTCTTTAAGGTTAGATATGTATCGAGGAAAGATAAGGAAATTGATTTTCACTGTTTGTGGTCAAACTTCGTCTAGAAATTCATCAAAGTTAGTAACGATGTCAAATACCTTTATGTGGGCTTGTTGGTCTAAGGCGGTATCTCACCGGAAGGCTAAACCAGTAAAGGAACTCAAAGGATGTTTAACTGTAGTACAAAGCCTGATCGAGTAAATATTGTATATACATTATTAATATATATATATTTACTCGATATATATGTATTCATACTTATTCACTACTGTTGTTTACATTTGAACTGACTATAAGATAAACAATTAAGAATAAAGCAGAAAATTATATTCAATGGGTAAACTGTGAATGGGAATTCATCGCATATACTAAGCTCGCGCTGTGAAAATTACCCAACAAACAAAGACATCGAAATCAATTTAAAAGACGCGGTCTGACCGTTACAATATTGGAAGGTTACTATAGAATTAAATGTTGTGATCACTTCGTTATGACAAAGGAACACTCCAGTGAAGAGGCACCTTTAGAATTTTATTATAAGTACCATTTAAACCCTATTGGAGCTTTTTGTTTTGAAGTTATGGATTGTTTGAAGTTAAATATTATTAGCGGATTCTTTTTTATATCGTGGTTTCTAAACAAATTTTAAGAAGATTTTTACAAATTTGTAGGAGCATTTGGTGCTGCAGGTGTCCCATAGGTGTTTGTTAAGACTTTATTATAAAGTAGTTCTTTTGAACCTTAACAGACAACCCAAACAGGAGTGGCCTGGATTGGTACCTTTCAACCGTAAGGTTGGGCGTTCCTATCACCACTGGGCACCAATTAAATTTTCTTTTTACACAATTAACAGTCACTCATACAGTGAAGAAAAACTCAGAATATCTTAGACCCACAAAATCTATGAAGTATGTCAGGCACAGACGGCTGATACTTACCTACTACAATAAACTGACCGGGAACAGCGACGCCACTGGTTGTTTTTTTTTAACCCTACAAATTAAGACTTGTTTTTTTATAAGAGAGAGATGAGATGCCTGCATATAATGTTACGATATATTGTAGGAATCACTTTTGGGGGCTTACGGCGGAGGTGCGATTGGCAGACCCGGGGCTCCTGGTCCTAAAGGGGATGCGGGGCAATCAGGGCCCGCTGGACTTCAAGGAGAACGGGGATTTGCTGGAGCTAAGGGTGAACGTGGCCTTCCAGGTCAAAGTGGTTTAAAAGGGGATCGTGTAAGTTACAGACATAAAGTTGATTATTGTATCAAGAATTAGGTATGATTTCTTTATGTCAGAAACGTATCTGTTTGTTATTGTTCTCTGATAATTTTTACCTGCAAGCAAGGCTATTCTTCGACTGCCCATGAGTAAACGTGTATCTTTGCAAGGAATTACCCCCTATATATATTAATCTTATATAGATATATTAGCATGTTTTTACTATTTCAATAATTTCACATAGTACGATCGGATATATATGTATATTACATTTGCAGGGTTATCCTGGCCCTAAAGGTGACAGAGGAGTAAAAGGTGACCGTGGAGGTCCTGGTTTGGATGGCCGTCCAGGACTTCCGGGGGCAAACGGACGCTTTGGTGAAAAGGGCGAAAAAGGTATACAAAACTTAAACGATTTTAAAACAAATGGTCACTTTCACCAGTATAATACGCGAAATAGAACTAATTTGAGTGTACGACCAACCTGGCTCCAAAAAATAAACCACTCCTTATATGGAAATTGTATTCGGTTTTACAACAAACTTTGACGACCCATTGGTCTAGTGGTTAGTACTCCTGACTGCGAATCCATGGGTCCCGGGTTCGATCCCCGGCTGAGACGAACATTGATGTGATGAGCATTTGGTGTTGTGCTTAGGTCTTGGGTGTTTAAATATGTACATATTTATATGTCTATCTATCTATAATATGTATGTATATCCGTTGCCTAGTACCCATAACATAAGCTTCACCAGCTTAGCATGGGACTAGGTCAATTGGTGTGAATTGTATTTAAAAAAAAAAAGCTCCCAAGCGAAATTTCGCTTAATCTCTAATTAGAGAATTATCACTAAATAAATTCGCTATAAAAAGCTCTCGATAAACGAAAATTAATCAATAAAGCTTTTTTATAAATTTGAGGAATACTTAAATGATCGTAATCCTTGGGATTGATTTGCTCCAGTTCAAACTATTGGTATGACTCAATACTTGGCAATTAAAAAGAGTGACTTGACTTGCGAACTGGTAGTAATTGTAAATTTACAATTAATTGAACTTCTTTCTGACAATTCATAAGTGTACTTGTTAACCTACATGAATAAAGATATTTTGAGTTTGAGTATATATTTTAGGAGAACGTGGCTCACCTGGACCGCCGGGTCCACCATCGATTCCTGTCGCAGGTTTTACGACCGAGGATTCAGAATTCCTTTCATCTGGTTAGTTATAAAATTATTTTAATTACATGTTTATTTATTTGGTATAATGTGTTCGTTAACGTTTCAATAAACGGGCCAAAACTTACTTAAATTCAATGTAAAAATAGTAAATATTAAAAAAAAATTGTAGGTCGAGTCGTTGCCGGATTGCATGGAGAGAAAGGCGAAAAGGTAAGGTTTTAATTGTCATAATTATGATGGATTTACTTGACCAATTCAGTATTAATACGTTAAATAAATGTAATATAAATATTGACAGGGTGAAAAGGGTGACCCTGGAAAAGATGGCATACCAGGTTTTCCAGGCAAGGATGGAAAATCAGGAGAACGTGGAGATATTGGCCCTTCAGGAATGCCTGGTATGTCTGGACCCCCGGGTGCTTCAGGTTTAAAAGGAGAAAGGGGAGAGAGAGGCCCACCCGGACCAGTATCAATAACTTCAGGTGGCTCTGACATAATAACAGTCAAGGTTTGTATTAAAACATATTCTTAAGACTTATTAGAGGCTTTATAAAGATAACATATATTTAATCTTTTAAATACATTATCAATAAATAAACTTTTTACATAGTATGCCCAAAACCTAACAATTAGGGAGCGTTCAAACGTTCAATATTACGTCACGAAATTTTTGGAGATTATTGACCCCTCCCCCATGTAACGCGCCGTAACATTTTTCTGTATCCAACAGTAAAACGTTCTGTAAACACCCAATGACTCTTTAGTAAAGTATTGAAAGTGTAAAGTACTGAAAAGAAGAAAATAATGTTAACAATAACGCGTAATTCAATCCTCGCCCCGCATTGTAACGTTTTTCAAAAGGACCCCGCCTGTTCCCAAAATTCGTTACGTAATACTTGAATGCTACCAAACAGGGCGAAAAGGGGGATCTAGGACCCAGAGGTAGAAGAGGTCGATCTGGACCACAAGGACCTAGAGGACTTCAGGGGCCACCAGGTGTACCTGGACCTCCGGGAAAAGCCGGAGATAAAGGTGAAACCGGACTTCCTGGATGGATGGTGAGTTCAAATACAAAATATATTTTGTAAATACTTTAAATTGTGTATAACATATAACACCAATACATTGAAATTTTGCTTTAAATGCAAACCAATTTTGTTCGCAGCTGCACAAAGAGGTTTTTATAGAAAATTATTTACATTATATATAAATTATACAAGAAGAAAATTAAAACATATTTAAAAAGTTCAGTCCCTGTGTCAGTGTACCTTTAACGCTGGCAGCATTTCCTCACTGTATTGCGTGCTTATTCGTTGAGCGAGGAAAGCACCAGCTCTGGGGTCAGCGGTATTATTTACCAGGCACCAACTTAAATCTTTAATTAGCGCCTGTGCACTTGAACCCCACAGCCCTAGAGTCTCCACTCCAAAGGGAACAATTTTTGAGCCGTTCATTATTTTCCGTCTGCTCTGCGGCCGCCCCAGTTATTAATTAAATAGAGTTATTGATTTAAGTTAAATTTCGTTCAAATGTCGAGTTAGTAAAATTAAAATCTACTGACATTTATATTAATTACCTGTAACTGTTTCATGCTGCCGTTTAGAATAATAAGGTTTGTTTTTCATTTTTTAATAAAATTCATGATTTCAACAATTTATGAAAAGAATCGTAACAATTACCAATAAATGTCGTTCACAAAAAAATCTTCTTACAGGGACGCCCGGGTACATTTGGTCCTCCGGGGAACACCGGACCTAAAGGTGAAAAAGGAGACCCAGGCGTGAATATTTTGGATGTCTCAATGGTATGTAATAAAGATTAATTTGTTGTAATGTAATAAAGATTGAGTTGTTTGTAGCCTCTTAGCAATATTATAATGTGGCAATTAAAATTAATATAGTGCATATCACAAACGATATCACACGAAGTTCCGTCGACTAAAAGAGACAGAAAACATTTGTGAAATAGTTGGTTAGTTCTTATTTGTAGTCTCACTATTTATTTAATGTTATAGTTCAAAGGTGAAAAGGGAGATCGTGGTGACAATGGATTTCCAGGCCCCAAGGGAATTCAGGGTCCACCGGGCCCACCAGGCATTGCTCCAAAGTCGGATGTTGTCCAGTACGTGCCGGGTCCACCAGGGCCGCCTGGACCTCCCGGATCTCCGGGTCTAGCTATAGTGGGTCCTAAAGGAGAACCCGGAATCAGCTATATGGAAGAAGGTCCCATTCATGGCAGTACGAAGTTCTTCGGCAGACCAGGTAAGGTTCTTTAAAATTCGGAACGTAATATTAATTATTTTGTTATTAATAATTCCAATTTTAATTTATGCTTGCAATGGGACAGTTCAAAAAAGTGCTTTTGACGAATTGAAAGCTCTAACAGAATTAAAAGAACTAAAAGAAAAGACTAAAGAACGTCTTGGTAAGTGCCTAGCCTTATTTATAAATAGAAAAGTTTGTTATGCCTAATTATTAATAAATTGTTCAATCATTAGTTTTGTTTTTAAACTACTACCCTTCCCCTACTTTTTATTGCCAATAAGATTACTATAATTCTGATTCAATAAGATCAAAAACGAAACTCTTCCGGTGACGAGATTTAAAATGATTTCAAAAAAAGTCAAACATTTATACATAGTTAAAAAGCATATAATTTAAAAAAAAAAATTACTAGTTGCCCCTTCCAAAAGGTAGTTTCATATGGAGAAGAATGGGTAATAAACTCTATACTTACTCTTTTAAAATTGTTTTTCAATATTTTGTATACATTGATTCAATTACATATATGTGAAGACCATGTACCTAGAACAAAAAAAAATACTATGCTAAAATAAAATATATTATGCATCAGATAACTAAATTATTATGTAGATACATGGTGCTCAAATATTTACAAAGGAACACACCTTTGCAGGTCGAGATAATTTTGAGTCAAGAAGTCACCATGCAGATGAATCAAGCAAAACGGTACCAGGTGCGTCGGTATTTCGGACCACTGAAGAGATGATGCGGGTAAATACAAAACCAATCAGAATCCAGTCTACCATTGAGTAAAGCTATTAAGTCATATTATAGTGAACATTTAATATTTTAAATAAAATGTTGAACTATCACAATTATTTACTTACCTGTCCTGGCGTCTAGCAATATATTTATCATCTAAATTAAAAAAAAACTATTTCTGTTAAAATTTTCTTTGAACCTAGAACATAACTTTTATATAAATCAATGTTATTAGTGAAATAATACTACATACTTATATTTAATAATGTATTACATAATTCGTTTTCCTTCATCAGCTTGCTTCTTCGAGCCCCGTTGGTGCATTGGCCTATGTCACGGAGGAACAAGTTCTGTTCCTCAAAGTGAATACAGGATGGCAATATGTTTTGGTAATATTTGCTTGAGTTTTGTACTCATATAATTCGTAAAAAATAAGTTATATACTTACCTTTCTGGGATAATTTTATTTAACTTGCTCGTTAAATTAGGGAAAACAGTAAAAACCATGAATTAGACTCAGAATCTTGTGACACAGAAGACGCATGCGCATGCGCACTTTAAATCAAGCAAGAAGGTGAGCAGGGTAGGAGGAGAATGGGATATTTGTCTATGATATGATGATTTATTAATAAGATAATAATATTATTATATTTGATTTTATCGACTTCCTGAAACCCAACGAACTTTTATTATATTAATAACAATAGTCGTGTTCTTAGTTAACGCAGAACCTCGGTGACCTGCTACTGGCTTAGGCATGCGACTTAAAGCCCTGAGGTCCTGCTGCACTTACATATATTTAATTTACGAAGTGTATTTATTCCCAGCTCGGGTCAGTAGTGTCCCAAGCAGCACCGTTGACAACGACGCACTCACCCGTCACACCCCCAATGCCCGCAGCCAGTCTTGTTCACAGGGGACCAATATCCAATTTAGTTGACTCGCCAGTACTCGCTCCCGTCGGGCCAAGTGTGAGTATTATTTATAATTTACTATCCAGTGGCTGTTTTCGTATGCAAGCAACAGGTGTTAAGTTAGGATTTAGATGCTTTAAGATAGTCGCTGACCTGCTAAAATATTAGGAAGTAAGAATGTTTGAAGACGACTAAAACAATCTGCGTAAAATGCGCATCCGTTTGTGTTGTTTGAGAAATACTTTTTATTATTTGAAAAAAGAGGTTCCTAACTAACCAGAAACCTTTTTAATGTATCACCCAATGACTTATACACGCCTAGACCGATCTGTTATTATGGTTTTCTAATAAACAATAAGCTACAAGCTCCCACCTTTTCATAATGCCAAATCATAAAATGACTGCTTCACGACTGATTTGAGAGCGACCGCCGATGCGAAAACCGCTGTGTGAGTTCGAAAAGTGAGTTACAGAATCGCAGGGCAGGTTAGGTTAGGTTAGGTCCCATGGTTATCGACTTTCGAAAATTACCTAGTTTTTATCAAGGTTTTATTTCCATGGACAAAAAAGAATAGAAAATAACAATCAATCAAAACTGTTTTTCTTCTCATACTACGACGTCCCAGAGCAGTGTTGGCCTAGTGGTTTCAGCGTATGCCTCACATCCCTGTGCTCGTAAGTTCGTTCCCCGGCTGTGAACCAATAGTATTTCGGACAATGTGCGCATTTAACACTCGCTAGAAAACATCGTGAATCCCGTTTTGGACATGACATTTAAACCCAAGAAAAAGTCGACGCCGTATATTAAGCATAGAAGACTGATCACCAACTTGTCTATTATGAAAAATAAATCACAAAACGGATACATAAATCTGAGGCCCAGACCTAGAAGATTGTAGTATCACTGGTCGTTTTATGACGTCCTAGTACTTTTTTTTAATTGTTGACCTTCAAATAACTAACACTATTCTAAAAACATGCTAAAGAACATGGGGTTGAGAATATTAAACGCAATACGAGTAGATGTGAATATGCACTCTGATCCATCGTCATTGGTCAACAGCATCTCTAGACCCTGATAACACCTTCAAAAAAATATGTTCGTAATGGTCATAATCACGAACCCAACTAAGTTGTATGTTTCGTAATTATAACGTGTATTCAACGTCTATTTTACAGCTCCGTTTAGCCGCACTAAATGAGCCTCTATCAGGTAACATGCATGGCGTACGGCGCGCTGATTACGCGTGTTATCGCCAAGCCAGGCGCTCTGGTTTAAAGGGAACTTTCAGAGCTTTTCTTACGAGCAGGTAAGCTTATGCAGCTTTCTAAATAATCAAATTACCATATTACTGTATTTTATCAGGTTTATTACTGTATCTTAAGTCCTCAGTTGTCACATTTTTGTTATGTCTACTAGTACGCTGTGATGTTAAGAGTAGAGTACTAGACTTTATTCAATACAGTGTAAACTCTATACTCTATACTCACATTCTTTTGTTTTCTTTCTATAATCGATTGTTTGTATCATCCTGTTCTATAGAGAAGCCACGGTACCAATACGATTGGTATATTTAAAATATATTATTATCATACCCAGGTGTGAGAGAGATCAGAGAGAAGGAAAAGGAGAGATTATGATTAGATTATTATTTATTATTATTTTCTTTATATGTAGAGATATATCTTATAATTAGGTAATATTATTAAAACTTAAGCTGTTTCCATATCGTTAAAAATGTATTTACCCATTTTTCCTCAGGATACAAAATCTGGACTCCACAGTACGTTACGCTGACAGACATTTACCAGTGGTCAATATAATGGGAGAGGTCCTCTTTAAATCATTTTCCAATATTTTTGATGGAAATGGAGGCTTCATTGCTGGTATTCCACGAATATACAGCTTTAGCGGGAAGAATATTATGATGGATTCTAATTGGTATTGTTTTTATAATTTTACCCTGTTTCTTTAATGTTATATAAACTTTAGTGCATTTTCTACAAATGTTTTAGAAATAAATAGAAAATAAACCTATCAAATTCTCTCATATTCTATGTACAAATTTGTTTATTATAATTGTACGCAACGTACTTGCGTAATTTATCTTCACGTCAAATCCCACAACGCTCTTGGTACATGACGTTACAAAAAGTCGTTAAATTTTATGATTTGACTTATTTTTTCTAGGCCACAAAAATTAATATGGCACGGCTCCCACGCAAGTGGTGAACGCGCGTTGGACACGTTCTGCGAAGAATGGCAGAATGGAGAGCCCACATCCAGGGGCATGGCTGCGTCATTATATTCACACAAACTGCTCTCTCAGGAAAGGTATATTCGTTTAAAAAATTATAAATACTGTATAGCTCTGATAAAGGGATGTTCAAAATAAAACGTTTACTTTACTACAATCACCATCAATCAAAGATCTATGTCGTGGATAAAAAATTGATTAAGTTAGAAAACCAATTTAAACCCAGGTTTTATGTAATTCGGAAAAACTTATCAGATCACGGCCTCAATCAATGTTTTATAAAAAAATATATTATCAGCTACGTCGGGTCTCAAGGTGGAACTACCACTTAACTGTGGTAATTAACTAGTTACGAGTCTAGCTTTTGTGCCTTTAGTACCTTGTACTCACAATTTAGCGTATTTAGCCGCTCTGCACGCCATGATCTTCAACGTTTGTTTCCGAAAAAAGCTTTCATTAGTCCCTCAAAATATATCTTAATTTTATCTGAATTACGGGAAAAATTATACATGTTATTAAAACGACCAGACTGTATGACAAAGTTATATACTGTATATCTAGGTGTTTTAATATGTAATCAATACAAACCTCTGTATACTCCCTGGTTTTAAATAAGTGTAATAATCAGTTACGCTTTTTTAGTGTTTGCTGCTTCATCTGACGAAACAATAACTAACTAGAATGAAAAAGACAGTACATTTCAGGTATCTCGTGAATTCTGGCGAACTTTGCTAAGATTTGTTAACGAGAATGATACCCTTTTTGAACAAAGCGTAACATGCTCGTGTTTAATCTCCTCGATGCGAACGCACTCATCTCTAAAAATGACCAGTTTTGGTTTATTAAAATGGCTAAAAAGTTCCCACAGGCAACTTGGTTTTTTATGTATAGCCTGATGTCACATGCTGCGGCAACATATTTGTTTTAGGATGACTATCTATATACCGACAATACACTAGTACATTTGAGCTTTCCATATTATTATGAAAAAGCACGGTCGCAAAGCTCGTTCCATAGTTCTCAGAAACGGATCGATTCCCATGTTCTTATAATTTTTTGCTTATTGGATGAAGAAAAGTCGTTGAGTAATCGGAGAATCTATCTATTCGTCATAATAGTACGAACAAAGTCGGATCTTGAAAAAGGCGAAACAAAATCCACTTTTACTCCTATGTTTGGTACTAACTATTTGACTAAATATTCACGGCTACATTAGACAAAAATTCATGTATTTCCCAGGTATTCTCAATAATTTCGCGTATTAATCAGTCCGAAGCTCGAAGAAAAGAAGTCATTCAGGTATGAACGCTGATTTGCATTTTTTAGGTATATTCTATGTAATTTCCAATTCTTTAAAAATTACTATTTTGTTTATCAAAACGGTAAAATCCCTATTGGCAATTTAGGTTTATCTATTAATTGGTTTGGCCATCCAATTACAGAATTATGAAACTTTTAAACCTATACAACAATTAACTCATGATATATATTATTCTTGTCAGAATGTTCGCTGCCCTGTAAAACGGCTCGACATACTTATCAATCGTTATGCTATTCTAAGAATCGCTACTATCACGTATTTTTCAAACCCCTTAGTGATAAGGGGTGTCCCACCCTTTTTATTTTTTTTTTGATAAAAAAATTTTTTTTATTTTTATATTATGTGGCATTAAAAAATACATAAGTACACCCCTTACGACCAACCTCTATTTTTTATTATAGTAGATAGTTATTTTTATTGAAGTAAAAATTGTTTCCCTAGAAATAATATACATGGCAAAACAACGTTTGCCGGGTCAGCTAGTAGTTATATAATGTTTATACATACATCTAGATATATATTGGAAGCATTTGTTCGGTATGTAAATCTGTCTTATATCACTGTTTTAACTAAAAATTAATATATTTCCAGGTACAATTCAACGCAAGACGACGAGGACTATTTGTACAACGCTGAGGAATATCAAGAGCTACTTAATGATATATTTGCTCAACCATTTAGAGAAGATTAATTACAATTAATGTATATTAATAATATTATTTGTATAAAGATCTCAATTTAAATAATGAGAAAATGCTTCACGTACGGCTAATGAGGCATGTTTATATTATAACAGTATCAGTCAAAATGGATATTAAGTATGAAAATGCTAGTCTATAAGCCTTGTTTGCCCCAATGAAGATATATGTTAGACGAATAAACATAACGTACGCATGCCTTTAAGTGTTACGGTAAAAAATATTACTTGTCTTTGTCTAAGATCTTTTGTCAGTTGTCGAGTAGAATTTGAATTTCGAATATTTACTTAACAAGTTCGAAAATTTTTGTTAACTACTATGGTGATTGTACCCAACAAAATTACCTTTTGGATTCATGAGAAGCTAGCTAGCATGAAAGTAACATAAACGAATTTGGTTATATGTAAAATTTAAGTATTATCAATTTGTTAAAGCATTTACAAGAGATTAGCTATATTATATATGAACAATTTTGTATTAGTTGTTATTATAGTAAGCACGTGACTGTATTATGTTTATAATAAAAAAAACTTAGAAAGTTTACGATTTGCTTAAGCTGCTGCATAAATAATTAATTAAATCATTATACTAAGTTATTTTATTCTACGTAGATAAAGCACGGCATTGTAAATATAATTTAGTTAAAGTTTTTTGTAAATTGTAATAAAATTATATATTATTTAAGAATTTTAAGTTAGAATACTTGTTTTAACGCTTAATTGGATGTAGTATATTGTAATTAAAACATTATTTAACATCTGTATACTTATATATAACCTTAGCTTTATTTCCAAGTAATTATAGATAATAATGTGCCATTGTACGTAGATGATGCAATATATAGCGACAATTCTGTATACAAAAAAAAAGTGATTTCCCGGTAATTGAATCATAATATATTATACTACTCGTAAAGTAAACTGATAGCGCAAAAATAATATTGGAACTGTAAGTGATGGTAAACTTGCGTAAAGGAATTTGACAACTTGTTATCCCTCTGCGGCACCTACATGTATTGACATTTTGAGGTCAATGACCTCTATATTAAATTATTTTATTTATATCACAAAATTGACTTCAATTTTAGCTTTTGCTTTATAGTACCTAAATAATATACCACTAGGGTAAGGCGTGGCCTAGTCGAAATATTTTACTGTTTTTGTATATTCAAAATTGTTATGTACACGTATTTTTAATTATTTGTTGACCATTTTATATGCTTTGAATATAACAAACATACTCTTGCAAACAAAAATCTTATATTTGCCTATGAAGAACAATTTTCAATGAAATTTACAAAAGTTTGTCTTACTCATGACCCACTGAGAGGATACTGAGGACATATTTATGTGAATGTTTACAAAAAGTGATTTTTGTTTATCATTTTAGTCGCGGGCATTGATATTACCATCGTGGAAGAATAAGTGATTGGTACTAAACAATTTTTTCCTAATGTACATGTATTTTATGAAAAAACGCCAAAGATTTAAAATACTTATGGAGTAATTTAACGAAAATAGTAAAATTGGTCATAATATTAATAACATGACATACCATTAAGCATTTATACGTATTTTAGAATTAAGCTTTTGTCAACATCGAAAATGTATTATGCGAATGTGTTTATACACTTTAAATAAATGTTTTCACAACAGTCATTTGTTTTTATATTAGTTTAAGCTACTAAAATTATTACTAAAAATGTATAAGCGATTGTCTAAATAACTGCATTAAAACTAAATAAATAAATCACAGTTGATTTGACAACTAACTTGAAAGTGATTTATTAACTAATGCAGTAGTGAATTTCGAAAATCGAAGCGATCTCGCTCGTGTGCGATCTACGTTGCGATACTGCATTTGACAGATTAATTGCTTCCTATTCACAGGTAAAGACTTGAATTTCATATCCGAATTCTACGTTCAACGGAAACTAAAGTTGATGAAATATTTCGAACTAATCGTCGTATTTAACACTCAGTGACGTGTGAAACCGACATATGAGGTTTTAAATAGAATTTTCAAAATATAAATAATTTAAAAGTTTTTCTAACGGAAATAGGTGTTTGATTTTTGAAGTTATACTTCTTTAGGCGCGTTATGAAAAATTGATGAGAGTGAAATTTTACGATGCGCGCAAAATTATCAGTATGAAGTTGCCCACTAACGAATTATTTTTAAACCAGCCGGGCGCCGAGCGTGCGCGAGCAAGATGGGAATAAGACAATCTTCAAGTAAAAAGAAATAGAATATGCGTGAAGTTAGCAGCTATGCCAAGATTTTTAAATGACCATAATGACCTTTATTTTTTCAAAGAAATTTAGCAATGCTTTTTCACAAAGACCTATTTTTACCTAGTTAAAAGGTTATGAAACATACCTACCTAGTTATTAAATTGAATGAATAATATAATAAATAATAATAATAATTATTATTAATATTAATTAATAATTGAATAATAAGTTAAATATTATTAAATTATTAACGTTAAATATTTATTATTAATTATTTAATATTTTAAAAAAATAAAGAAAGCCAAAGAAGTATAACTTCTTACGCGGGTACATAAGTACACGCACCCTTTTTTTTACTAAACATGACACCATATTATTACGATTACACACTTCATTAAATTAGTTAAAAAAATTACGGGTGAATCAAGTGACGAAGAAAATATTATAATACAAAATATACTACAACTAGAACAAAAAGAAACATTAATTAGGAAAATTATAAAATATACAAAGAAAATATTGTAGGTACCTTAGTTAACATGAAATAAAAGTATCCGTTGTTAATGGTTTTTTAAAGAATGCAATGGTGTACTGAGACAACAGACTCAGCGACGGAGATGCATTCTTTTTCATCACGTATGATGTACAGATCAGAGACTAATATCGTAATATAAAATTGTGTAAAAGATTCTCCGCCTATTTGCATAGATTTAAGTGTTAAGAAGAGTCCAATATGCCGAAAACACCACTGGTTGACGGATCGCCCAAATCCTCAAAAGTGTAGGTTTCTGAAGTGCAGATTAGAATATAAGTGACTTATGACAGTTTAACAGACTCATGAAATGAAAACCAAAAACAAATGCCTTTGTTGCATATAGATGTATAAAGATCGCAAAGGATGCGGTGACAAAACAAATGTATGTAAAAGTTAAACACCAACAAACCTAGAAGAGGAGAGTCGAGCCATTTAAAAAATAATTGTATGGGTTTTGGTACTTTAACTGATCTAGATACAATAAGCTAGTCAGTGTAATTAACGATATAATGAATTAAACTTAAGTGTTTTTTCTTTGATTAAAAAAACCTTTTTCATTATAAAAAAAAACTCTTTAATCGTAAATTATGTTGAATTTTTCTAAATTCAGAATACCAAATCACTATTTGTGCTAGAATAATCACTATTTGCTTAGTATTTGCGTACTTTACACACTATTTATTACTATTCCGGAATTTCCCAAATGTGCCTCATGTAGATATTATATGGCTAATACTTGAATATACTAACGCCCCTTGAACCTTCTTATAAAGACCAAATCTCATCAATCATCTAACATTGGTGAACACGCAAAAGGAAAATAATTTCATCGAAGGAAACTTCTCAAATCGAACATAAAAGTTTTCTTATTAAAGTGTTACCAACTTCACAGGTCTCTGCCACTGTAGGACGTAATTTAATGAGGTAATTATAAAAATGTTTTTGAATTGACCTACCCTCTAAGTAAATGTGAAACGTAGAATTATTCGCATATATTTATGTATTAGCTTTGTGGCTAGGCACGGCCACGTTGCGTCCACCTATTCTTCACACAACTAGTGATTTTTGGTTCTTAGAGGTTCGGTGATTTTCTTAGATTTTATAATAAAGTACACCACATCGTGTATAATACATTTTGTACAGTAGAAGTTAAAATCAACCTATTCTAAAATATAATATGACACTTACGGTGAAAATAAATAAAAATATAATACTACCAAAAAGAGAAGAAATAAAACAGTTTTAGGTTTTACTAAGTAATCATTTATTTAAAGATATATAGATAAGATTCGTCTAATGCGGATTAGGTACCTCATAGAAGCTTAACAACCATTTTTTTTAATTGATCATACAACTACCGAATATACCAAGCTCTGAATAACTAGCGTTCATTCTGTTGTATTTGCGAAAAATTTTAATGAGAGATTGGTTTGTATAGACGAAATTTCTTCTTCCTTCATAGTATTAGCATTTATTTCACACACATATAAAAAAAACTATTACTATATTTTATCTAACTATACAAGAGAAGTGAAGGCTCTATATCAACATCAAATGCCTCGTCTCTGTATTTGGCTTGAATTTAGTACAATTCACGTTCCGGGGTAGGTTTCACGTAATTATACTGAGTCTCAGACGATCCCCGAACACTCAGTAATCAGCTTGATACGCCAATTGAATAGTTCACGCTTTTGGAGGAAATTCTAGTTCTACTAAAATCGTTCGCTATTTCTCGGTTCATCAATGATGACTGATGACAATTTGGGATTTCTTGTTCGCTAGTTTTGCATAGACAATTTATCAAGTTTTTCCAAAAAGCTTACTAAATATTTTGAATTTTTAGGCAATTATTTCATGTTTTTATTTAATGTAACAAATATGTCATGTCATCGGTATTTAGCTAATAAACACTTCAATCGTAAATAGGCATTTTAGTCAAGAATATTACGTTTTTAAAGAAATAATTTTTATAGGATAGCTAGATCATATAAAACTCCATTAGCTTACATATTTTTCGTTTTTGGTTAGATTATATATATTTATTATATCCTAGTTTCATATTAATAATAATAAAAGCATTTTATTACAGATACTTTACATTTAAATACATTTATTTATTTTAATATATTTCAATCATCTCATTCATTCCTATGTATCTATCTGTGTGCCCTATTTTGGCAAAGGCTTCCTCTAAATCCCGCCATTTCTGTACTTTGCCATCTCT